CACACGGCTCTCTGCAGCAGGCTGGTTTAGTTTAAATCTTGGGGTTTAGGCTTTGGTTTGGACTTTCTCTTAGGGCAGTCTCGGTTTAGATGATCTGGTGAGTTACATGTCCAACATCGAGGTTTATTGTCAGTTGACACAGGTGAACGATTCTCAGGTTTCACAAATTTCTGTACCATTGATGTGAGGGTATCAACTTGTTTTGAAAGCATAGACACCTGTTGAGCCAGTGCTGCAACTTCTCCATCACTTTTAGATTGGTCGCTTAATACCTCACGAACAGCAGCTTCACGTTTTGCTTTCAAAGATTTGCCCCTTTGACCCATCAATTTGATAACCTGGTCACGAGCATCGAAAAAACTAAGTTCTGGCTGATCTGCATTCAGTCTTCGACGACCAAGTGTGAGCGCGAGCCTACTTAGCTATTAACATAAAATTAGCATAGGGTATGACATCATTTTTACCCAGAAGCCTTTTTGATTCACTGCTACGCATGCGTATGCACTTTGTTTTGATTTTGATTTCAACGTGAGAGACGATAGTTATTTTAACGAGATGTGGGAGGATTTTGTAAATTTCGACGACAGTGACATCGATTGGAATGATATATTGGAAGAAGAACCAGATTATGTTGCTGCCGAGTACATGAAAGGAGACGTTGACAAATCTGAGTCGGAGGCATCGTCGCACTCGCAGCCATCCACGACGATCGCAATGACTTCTGTCAGGGCCGCTAAAAACCTTTCTAATATAGTTTATGAATGTCCCACATGCACTAAGCAATATAAAAGTGCGAGTGGTTTTCGAGGGCATGTGAAGACCATCCACAATCAAGACCTAAAAGGCATGTACCATCATTCATGTCTAAAACAATGTCTTACTTTTACGATTACGTCTCTGTATAATTGTGAGGGGGGTGTGTCATTTTTCATACTGCCGGAATCAAAGATGTACAGAAATCGGCATTCATGTTCCTGGTTTTGCTTGTTTTATTTTGGAATCGTAATCTCCAAAGTAGTGTCACAGGTTCGGACGACAGTGTTAACTTTTTAGTTCAGAGACTCTCACTTCATTGTGTTCAAAATTGGTGTGAATGACAGACAATGCCCATAAGAGCAGTTGTCTGTGGTTCAGTCTAGTCACAGTCCCTCAACTTGAGGGACTGTGGTCTAGTGTTAATTACCTGAGTCTGAGGCATTTCCTTTCTCAGGGAGGGTTTGTGAGTTAATATTGTCTTAATTATTTCATGTATTATTGGTGAATGATGAATTGATTATTAAATATAGTGTGTCCTTTTATTGCAGCTTCTAAATACAAGTGCCAAGTTGGAAAATTACACAAAACTGATATAACACCACAACAAAATTCTGGTAAGTTTGTTGATTTATTATCTCCCAAGTTTATAGTTCACATCACAGTTGAGGGACTGTGTTCACATTCACCCATATTTTAATTTAATTTTATTGCTTTGTTAACCAGAACAAGAAATGTTTGCAATTTATGATTCTATTCAAGTTGTGCAAATTAGAACTAGTGTGGATCAGTCATAGACATGAAAATTAATTTGCTAATTATGTGATTGAAATCATACACAGCAAAATAGAATTTGATAACGCTGCCTTATGAAAGTTGTTTATTTACTTTGTCTTTTCACTCAGACAAGCCACAGTCTACAGACAAAGCTACATCAAGTCAGAGACAAGATTCAATTGGACACTATAAAAGAAAATCATCAATTGATTTGGATGAAAAACATAAATGTTTGTGGTTTTCTTACAAATGTCAACAATAGGTCACATTAAGTGACAAGGAGAAAGAAGCCCTGAGATATTTTGCAGGCTATATCCCTCACAAGCTCAAGAGAAAACTGCAGCGAAATGAAGCAAAAAACCATGAACTGTTAAATTTATTGGATGCCATGAAAGAAGAAAAGGAGCATCAGAAAGGTGGATGCATGTCGCAGACAAAGGGATGGCTCCATAAAAAAGACAGGGGTGGGCTCTTTCATCTGACAGACTCCACATTTCTTTTTTTCGAAGAGGTGGAATCTGTGTGTAAGCAGCATCTCAGTGTAACCAGGTCAGATGCTTTTCATTTAGTAAGAGTGTAGTTGAACTTTTCAAGACATCACACAACCAACATGTCAAAGGATCCAAGGGACTCAGAAAGTCTTTGAAATGAACATTATTTAAAATAGACATACAATGCATAACATTTTTTTAAAGCTTTAAAACTTTATTAACAATAACACTTACTTTAAAAATTTACATTGCCTCTTTATATTTCCATGTACATACAAGTTATTAAAAAACACTAACATCATTTAATGTGTGTTTGTATGTTATTTATTCCCTAATTAGAGGAAACAAATTGTAAAATCATGATGGGTTCCTATTGAGTACACAGTCATTGCTCTAACACATTTTCTCCACATTTGAATAGTAGTCAACGCTGAGCTATGCTAAATAAAGTGGGAGGAATAAGCTACACGCCAGTTCGACATCTTTTTTGCAGGGGTGTAGTGTCAATTACTTCTTCCACTGCACGCTTACACTGACCAGTATTGCCGGTGATACACTGGAGATGATGAGATTTCTGTAACCTTATGGCATTATCTTGGTATCCAAAGGCTTGTACTGTGGGGTCATTATTTGCCCCTCCACGATGTCTATGCTTGCTGAAGTGGGCCTCTAATGGATCCTGGCAGTTTCTCACTCAGACATACTCTACACCATGGTTCAAAAGATATTTCGTAACCTCAACGAAAGATTTAACTGCGAAAGACAAAGGTGAAAATGGCATTGTTTGTAGACAGTAATTTAGTTCCTTGAGTATCAACAACATTCATGATCAGTGTATTTTAATTTAATTCTGATTTGGGATTAAGCAGAAACTAAATTGTTTTGCCATAACCCAACCTACCCACAAATTAGTTGAAAAATTGCATCTCTATATAGATTACTATAACACCATTCTATCAATAGTATAACCACCTTTGTAGTTTAGTAGTGCAAACTTACCTGACATCTGCAACCCCTCTAGCGTTTGTCGACTGAGAAGCATAGCAGCTCGTTGTGATGCTGTGAACTGTCCTGGCCTTCTTGCAACTCTATCTTGCCACTCAGTGAAATAATTTAGAAAATCAAGTTCAAGCCACTAAAAAAAATATTGAATACAGGAAATTAGTTTGTAATAATAAATCAACATGCATTACTAGGAACTATAGCCACCATCTACAACCCCCCCCCCTCAATTTTGACCCATTTGATAAAAAATAAACAAGTAATTATTGAACAAATGTGGCACAAGAATTTTAGCGAAAAAAATTTGGTACAGAAAAAGGTTAAAACTATGATGTCTTCACAATTATTCAATAACTTACTGATAATCTTGGATCATCCGGATTTGTATAGGGTGCCAGGTTAGGTTTACGTTTCCTTAGATGTTTCTCCTTGCATCGCACATTTAAGCAGTCAAAAAAGTTGTCCATATACATTACAAACTTAGCAGTTTCCCCTGCTTCTGGTGGACCAAATCTTTGAATAGCATGGGACACTGTTTCACTTAGAACCTGCGAGATGCATACAAAGGCAACAAAGTTTAACAAGTTTAGCATATATTACATAACTGTCACTTTTTATTCAATGTGTGACTTTTGATTTGTGCAAAATAGGAAAAGTGTCTTTAAAAAACATACCTGAGCTGCAAGGTTAACTCTCATAATTGAAAAAGATGTTAAATTGATATGCTCATATCCAATCTTGTGTAACAAGTGAATGTCCCTGGTTCGATCATCCATTATCAACTCTGAAATATGCCTCCATAATATTGGATTACCATTCTGTGAAAACAAGGATTATAAAAAACATCTTATTAGGAATTAAGTAGACCGTCCAACTTTTAATTAAATATTAGGTGGTCTATGATTTAATCAAATTTATCAAATGGAAAAGTATATACTATATTAAATATGCACATACCCATAGACTTCTGGATTTCCGATGTGCCTCAGAATTGGCCCAGCAGTTCCTGGTAGTCTTTATTAAGTGGGGTACATCAGACACAAAATAAATGAATCTTTCATCATCACTCCATAAATTTCTAGTCTTGAACACCACCATATCCCGCGGAGCACCTTTTACTCTATGCATACGGTAGAACTTCCGGTTCCATGACGCTCCATCACTGGTGGACACCATTACTTTTAGGTTACATGTGACTTCCAACCAGGTGATCGTATCCCATATTATTGGATACAAATTGTCAGACTTGCAACCATCAGTGGGAAAGTAGCCCAGGCTCATTTGTAAACTAGATGCTAATCCTCTTACCATTAGCACCAAGACATGACTGGCAAGTCCTAGACCTTTATTCTTCTCTATGTGACAGCCATTCTCTAGCTTCATCAGCTCCTCATTTATATCACCCAAGTTGGTGAAGCCAATCAGTTCCCCAGTGTTCTTATCATAGACGAGATCTTGCTTAACCTTCATTTCATCATGAAGTAGTACTACATATTTTATTTGACTCTGATGACCCAAGACACTCAATTTCTGGAAATAAGTTCCTTCAACACTGGTTGACTAATTCCTGGTTTGGGCTTAATGTAATTTGAGTAGTCTGTTAAAGTTCTTTGACTAGGCAGTTTCACGAAACCGGAACTCCTGAGTGCTTCATAGGCAGAAGACGACTTAAATTTCAAAAACAAGCACCAACGTATTATTGTGGGATGCCATCGCATTTGTCGACTGTCTGAACACCTAGCATGTCTTAATTGTTCCTCCCAAAACAAATGCT